AAAATAAGATGGCTAAGAGTATTAACAAGAGCCTAAGGACTGTGCAGCGAGACGAAATGTTGAGGTGTACCATCAAGAAATGGGAAGACAATAATGCAGATTGGTGAGCATACCGGACAGTACAATTATTCTGATTCATCTTAGGTGGAAGAAATTTAGTTTGACTGGCTATGTCAAGTAGGCGGCAGGCTTGTGATGATGCATTAAAGTTAAGTAATGTTTGCGAAGGGAAGGCACAATAGTTGGAACGTTATGGAGGGCTTGGAAATGCTACGAGTTTGAAGGAACTCTTACGCATAACTTAAAGGAGCACTGACATCAAATTTCAGAATCGAGATCTGCCCTTGATTTGATAGCTTGGTATGCGTAGATCCTCGTGATTGTATCTGAACTGCGTCCATTGCATGGAAGTTATTTTATTTTGATGCAAACAATGCACACAAGCTCAACAGAAAATGGAGTCGGCAAACCTTCTGGAGCTCACTCACGGAATGTATCTCGCGCTTTGGATTCACCCGGACTCATACTCACCAAAATTTTTCTCAGGTGGACTAGCTCGGACTCACACTCATAAAAGTTTCTTTCAACCGAACTCACCAAAATATTACTCACTCAGACTCACGGCTCAGTCTGAGTGAGTCCGGGTGTGTCAACACATGAGTTCATTAGCCTAGAATTATGCTTTTCAACCATGATGTGAATGCTCTATAGCAACGATATCTCACGTAACTGGTGCTGTTCTTGGCGCCTTTTCATATAGAAACCAGTAAGGTCATTTTTCTCAAAATAGATGACAACATAACACATGTTTATTAAGAACTGCTTCGGAAGAGTTAGTGAGTAGGAGGGGGGGTCAAGGTCCTCCCTTACGTAACTCATGCCTCTGATCAGGAAATATTGAAATGGTGTATAAAAGACACTGCTTTGGAATACGTATACGAAGACACGAGTATGAACGTGAATTCAGGTAAGGCTAATATTAATGCTGATTTGAAGATGAGTAGACATGACCATAGGTTGGCAAAAGAAAGTGAATCTCACTAACGCTCGCTTAAGGTCATCGGCAGGATTTTATCTTGGGGGGGGGGGGGGGGGGGTGCGAGTGTTGCATCGCAGCTGGGGGAGGAGGAGAGTACTTATGTAGCTTGGATGAGGGAAAGGGCTGGTGAGGCTTGAGGGGGGCAAGTGCCCCTTTTGCACTCTCCTGCCGACGCCCATGCACTCGCTCAACAAATATATATTTTGCTTTGGACTCATTCGAACTCGGGCTCACCAAAATTTTCACGAGTCGAACTCACTCACACTCATGAAAATACCACTCACTTCGACTCATTCAGACGTAGACTTACGGCTCTATCCAAGCCTCAGTGAGTCGACTCATGAGTTCGCCAACCCATGTACGGCACACATTATAAAAATGTATGGTCTCATCGCACAAACATTTCAACTTTATTCTTTACTATTTTTGGCTAAAACCTGAGAAGAAATGTCAATTCTGTTCACTGTGATGTTTCTCACTATGTGTCTGGTCGAGGGCATGACAGATGGCACCGCCTCATCAACAGATGACGCTCGGTGGTTTTGGTGGCGCAGTTCGCACGAGCTATTGAAATAAAGCAGTTACTCAACGGAGTCTGTGTTGGCTGGTCGTCTCGTTACTACACTCTTCCCTCTTATACCGCACCCACAGCCGTCACTGTCCCTCCCACAGAGAATTTCATGAACGCTCCATCTAGTAGTGCTAACTCATTTTCAAGACACCAAGGACTTCTCTGGCAGTTCACTTGGCTCTCTTTCCCATACAGACAGATGTTTGCGCTGCTTGTTTTAGGACGAAAACCTAAAAGTCTTTATAAATTTAATCCATGATTCAGATTGCATCTTTCTTCAGTCAAACATAATGTTTCAGTACTAACGATGAACCTTCAGGGAGTAACAACAAACTCCCAATATGCATAGCATTTACACTAGCCAAGAAAATGTACTTACGATTCGAGTGGACACCAGCTAGCACGGCTGTCTTTGACAGTGGAGGGCAGGTGTGCTGCGGTTTTGTGAGGGGGTCTGAAATTTTCGCTAAGCTGTATATGTATATAGAGTGCTTGCTTGCGCCGGTTGGTGCATGTCTATAGAACACCAGTAACAGCACAAATAATGGGACAATACAAACAGATGAAGATCTGCATTTTATTATTTAACTCTTCCAGCTTGGGCATGAACTGTCCAATGGCAATGTAATAAATTCATTTTGCTGAAATGCAGCTTCAAACAGATGGTAGGAATTTTTGTCTCCTTGAGCAGTTGAATTTATTGGGGACAGTTAGGCTATTCGGTGCATCTTTAGAGACACAGGTGCTAAAAAAATACAAGGGTAAAAAAAATGACGGTTCTCTTGCTTTTGCTACGCTTTCTCTGTTTTTGCGTGTGCTTTAGCTTTGGTGCCATAGTGATGAAAGTATTATCTTCAAAGATAAAAATAAGATAACTTACATTACCTTTCAGGTTATGTTGGGAGATAAGCTCATTGACTGACAGAGTGAATGTACACAATTTCTCAACGATTTCGTTCTGAGAAAACATGCACTGTACAAGGGGTATCGAGTTTACACAAAGGTTTTAATGGACTACTCACAGACTGACATGGGAAAATTTAGGGCAAAGTGATGCACATACTTTCATTTCAATTGCTCTCAGTTGAGGTCAAATCGGCGTACTTTGGACTCAAATGCGTAGATCGGAGCCAACATTATCGTTGGAAACCAGACTCACCTCGACATGTTGTAATTATCTCAAATCATTTATCTCAAGCTTACCAGTCGCTATACCAAAATAATTAGGGGACACTTAAGCTATGTCTTTAGGAGTTCAACGCAACAGTGATATTCAGTCCCTAGTGCATACTTCAACCAGTTTGTGCATATTTATTGTATGATGTTAACCAAGAAGTTTAAATGTTGATTACAATAAAATCCGTAAAGTTGAATGTGGCTTGTATCAGTGAAGCTTTCACATATGGCTGCATTCTGTGTAATGGGTGGCATACTTTAAATCATGAGCTCTTATGCACGTTAAATTCTTTCAAAAACTTGCTTTTCACCCACAACATGGTCTTAAGGAAATACCCACAGCAACGTGTGCACCTTTTGTACTGAGTGGCCAGCCTCAAAGGGGCCCTGAACCACTTTTTAAGAATGATCGGAAAACGCTGCCGATAGGTAGTAGAGGCTCCCGAGAACACGCAAGCCAAATAATATAGCACAGCACGCAGGCTGCAATGCACAATAGTTTTATCCAAGTCGGCTAAAAATTACTTCCTTTTCTCTCGACAAATCACACAGAAGCTCATAAATCACTCTTAGAATGCCTTCTATCAGCCATTGTCTGATTTGAACATGGCGCGCTCAGTCATTGCAGGGATCGCCGCAACTTGTCTATGCAAGCGTGTGCGATCACACTGAAAAAGCCACGTATTCAAAGAAAAAGAAAAGATAAAAGGCCACGAGGCACCCGTAACACATTTTTATTGCCCATGCTAACCCCTTTCGCTTAGATTCCAGCGCTTTCGCCAGGACGAGAGAAGATAGAATGCGATTGCAGCGGGCGACGAATCTTTGTAACTTCGCTCGTACGGAACGAATCCTCAACATTTTTGCGGCATTGAACTTATGAGGCAATAAGCGTTCTTAGCAAGTCCATTCCATGGTTACTTGAAAAAGTGTTTAATGTAACATTGCTTTCCTTGAGCAAGCCTCACGTGCAAACAAAAACAGCACACCGAGCTAATTAACTACTAGCTTCTGACAGAACCCCAACTGAAATGGTGTTTCAATTATTGCTCTGAATGTGCTGCACTGAAAAGGAACTGCAATACTGCGTCCACAGAATGCTCTTCTTTGTGCTTAGGCGTGGCGCAGCGGTTAGTGTGTTTAGTTGAACCTCTTCTTTGTGTCTGAATACAACAGGTTATTGGCATTATAGACACCAACAACTATTAAAATGTATCTAGTCCATATGCTGCAAAAAATGTCATTTATTAACATACACGCACAATAAAATGTTTTATTCCAATGACTCCTACACCTAGAGGTATCTTAAAGAGTGGTTGACTAAGAGTTTTGGTGACTGACGATAAATATTTACCATTGTAGTTGTTGAACTAAAAAGCCCCAGTAAATAAGTAATTGCAATACTATAACAAAAAAGAACCTACCAATGAGGACCAGTGGGGAATAAAAACAAACTTGCTATTAAAAAAATGAAAAAAAAATATGGTTGGATAGTCTAAAACTGGACAGGGCAACACTGCCCCATTTTTTCTTGGTTTTAGTAGGTAGCTGTAAGCACCATACAAGGCGACGCCACAACCAGCTTCATCATTTGCGAAATCACTGAATTCGTGAAAATTTTATTACGAGCTTTTCTAAAATGCTTTAACAGCACCAAAGAGGGCGCTAAAACCCACTGCAAGGTTGCTTTCGCCTTGTGATGCACACAGGTCGTAGTTCGCTTTGATTCCACCAAGAGACAGTTGGCGCTGTGTTCCCGAGATGGTGCCGCCGCCATGCAGGCGCACGGTTATGCGGGGCCATGGGAAGGGAGCTCTTGCTGTTTTGGCGCTTGGTGCCGCCAAGGACGGTTGTCTCTCGTGAGAGTTCTGTGGGCATGATACTGCAGCTATGTGTTCACGGGCTCCGGAGGAGAGGCTAACGTCAGTGACTCTACACTTGCGGTCCATTGTACCTGTTATGCTATTTGTGTTTTATACTGTGAATATATTGGATTGTCAAGTTAGTTAGGTTATTTATGAAATTCGGCTGGCGAGCTTGCCGTTACGTAAAAACTGTTAATAAATCTGCACTGTGGCATGTTTGCATACGTTTTTTTCGAGCTGAGACCTCACACACTGCATCAAAAAAGCGTGTGCCACATTTTAACAAAAATTATTGCCTGGAATGCTTTGTCAATGCTTCTCTCAAAAATATTGATGCTCCAGCACAAAGTTGGCCAAAAGTTGTGTTTAATCTATGTCAAGATGAAAATTTGCCCACCTTCAATGTATAACATTTTATAAGATGAAGTTAGAACATCCAGTCTAGTTTTACTGCATGCAGTTCTGATTCCAGATTATTTGACGAGCTGGTTTACTCAATAACTCTCTCAGTTTATTTAAACTCCTACTCCTGAAAAGGCACACAAAATAGTTTATATTAATTTATGCATACCATACTTGAAAGATAACTGCATATTTAAAATTGACACACAAATAAGCATACACAAAGCAAGCACACTCAAACCTCAATATAAGAAACATGGACATAACTAACTATCTGTTATAACAAATTAAATGAAAAATAGTTTTGCAATAGATACAGTGTTATAACACACTTACAGATATAATGAAGTTATTTTCTTGTAAGATGCAACTTTGTTACAATGAGGTTTGAGTCGACTGTAAAACACATCCAGCATCTTCCAGTGAATTGAGTGCCCATTGTTATTTTTACATCCAGGAATTTTCTGGGGCGCACCTCAATCTAAAGCACATGGGCCAATAGCATTTCACCTCTACCTAAGTGCGGCTGCTGTGCTAGTTGGTAGGTATTCACTGTGAAAGATGTGTACACAGAAAAGACCCCAGAAATGGGTCAGGCATGGACAGATGATGCCCCACGGAGCACAAAATCAACCTGGCGGGCATTTCCTCTCAGCACTGAGGGAAGCCAAAATAAACAGATGCATTAAATGGGTCACTCAGTTGTGCTTCAGGGAAATGAAGGCACTTCAGGGAACACAGTGACATCATGAGCATTGAACTAGTTTCAACTTCTGAACAATAAAAAATCGACAGCGGCACACAATTAAGAAAATGTTTTTATGTCAGCAAGTCAACAAGGGACAAGGTCATGAAACAAAGAAGAACCGATGCGCATGAGCCCGAAAATATCACGTAACCACTTCCCCAGAGGAAACCAGAAAAAAAAATTTTCATTGCCGAGTCTGTCATCCCGAGTCTGAGATGGGGGGACAACTCGTGCGACACTTCATTCTACGGAGTCCACAAGACGATGTGCTGTCAGTTGGGTGGCGCTTCGTCCAGGTGCTGCATGCTCAGCTGCGACTCGGCAATGTCGTGCAGCGCTTTCTGGATCTGCTCAAGGAGTGCCTCGCCCTGCTGAACTACTTCCTCCAGGCGTCGGGCTGCCTCCTGGTTCTCCACTTCCAGCCGCCTTAGGTTGGCCGCCTGCGGAAAAAAAAAAAAGGAGGAGACTCACTTGTCGATCACCCTTTCCCTAGACCACACACATTGGCAGCCCCGATTGCCGGCCGCATTTTGTTCTATATCTCTAGAACAGTGCTCAAATGAAACATGCATAAAAGTTCATGAAACTTTATATAATCACCCAGGACGACCCAATAGCAGAAGCCATCTTCTTTTCTTCTCAGCTTATCTATTATTGGCTTTCCCCCCAGTTTGAGGGGGAGGACAAAAAAAAAAAAGAAAGTCAGGATCAATGCGACAGCAGTGTGGGGCAGTTCATATTTAATGCAGGTCACAGATAACTCTTTATTTGTGTGTAATGAACAGACACGAATGACCAAGGCAAATGCTGCGGGCAAGATTAACATTAATTATGAATCTTTAGTAATTACACTGATAGTTGGGCAAGGTGGTGTTGGTTCATAGTTATGAACAGTGCAAAAAATACGGGACACAAAACGGACTGTGTCTGTGTGACTTTCTTCTTTTGTGTCCTGTGTTTTTCACGACGTTCATAACTTTAGTAATTACCCTCAAACCTTGATATAACGAAGTATCGGTTATAACAAAGTAAATTAAAAAGTCTCACAAAAGATGTAGTGTTGGGAATAAACCTTCACAACAAATTTTCGGATGTAATGAACTTATTTTCGTGTAAGATGGAACTTTGTTATAATGAGGCTTGAGTGTAGTTCCTTAAAGGCCAACTCCAGCCATTTTTCAAGCTCAATGAATCTAGTTCACTGGGCATGTTTCATTGCATGATTCTGATCCCAGATTACAGATGCAGATTCATAACGCGTGAATTTTATTGATTGCCTTAGCTTTCCCACCTTACTTCCCACTGTTATTGGCAAGACTGTGTGTTCGAAGTCGTTCAGGACAAAACGACAGAACCGAGGTGCCACTGGAGTGTCTGCTGCTCACAAGGCAACCTTTGCGTGTTTTCAGTTAGCACTTCTTTGTTTTGGTGGGAGTACTTCAGTTCCTCCCAGTGCGCATGCTTGCAATCGATGGTTGGCAGGTGGTGTTGCGCTGTGGGCTACATTTGCAAATAACGGTTACCTTTCTTCTCCACAGTAGTGTGTTTTTAGCAAGCAGCACCGGCTTACTGTACATCAAGTATAGTGACACTGTACTGGCTGAAGTCACTAGAGTGCACATGCGAGAACATTACTGAACAGAAATACTGTCCGTCCATTATGACCAGCGCGGTGCAACAGCAGAAATAGAATTTGGGGCAATTCTAGGAGCAATAAAACATTACTTTTGGAGAACTAAAGTCCAAGTTTGGAGCAGGTTACGAGAAAAAAAAGTATTCAATTTTTATCGTGAAAGACCTAATTTGGAGCAGTATGGAAAATACAAGCAAAATATATGTTCAAACCATTCAACATCACGTAAATCGTACAGAATGAAGATGCACTACTATTTCTATATAACTAATATTTTGAACCACTCCACCAGGCTAACAATGATAAAGTCCACGTCAGCATTTGCCATGCCTGTCAAATCTTTCGACAGGCTGCGAGAATTGAAATCTGGATCTACCAAGCTGGTGACCTTGAGATTTGGAAGATTCGTAAATTGAGTCGAGGAGGCGACAAAAAAAAAAAATTGTGCACAGCTTTGCTTGACTTTTTAGGGTTGCAAAAATATTATATACTGATCCAAAATATAGCCAGTAATTTTATAGACCTAAGCAATCATATTAGTACTCACAATTATGTGGCATATACATGAACAAGTAATTGTCCAAACTGTGTTGCGTCCCGGGACTAGTGCTAACAACCCCTTCCAAATCTTAAAACGCTTTCCCGCAGGTCGCCAGTGTATTGCAGCAAAGGTGGCTTGAGTGGCATCCTGCACAAGTTGGAACAAGGCCAAAAATTTTTTTGAGCCATTACACACACCCTTCCCTCCCTCCCTTTTTTTCATGATGTAGTTGGGTTTAAGGCACAACTTTATGGCTCACTTGCAAGGTGGGTTTGACCACACAAAGTAAGAACGGCATGCACCTATTGCCCGTCAACGGCACCAGATATCCATCACATGTGCCGCTGCTATGGCAACCAACATAGTTGGCGGCAATGCCCAGGTTCGCAAAACATCTATTTCGCGCGCAGTAAAGTCAGCACATGCTTCCAGCTTTAGTTCCTAACATGCCATAGGCACGTTTGCTGACAAGAAAATTCATATTTCCCATGAAGCATTGGTGGCTACAGCAACGCATTTTTTTTTTCTAGAACTTGCGTCGTCATGCCGATAGAGCGGATCAATCGGCACGTGGCATTGTTACTCTATCTGGTTGATCGCATCTCGCGAGTGTCCTGCCATAATGAGTATATCCCACCGTCATTAGGTTACATCGTAGGTTATGATCTGCGCGCCTAAATCTCTAGACTATTTGACGACGAAATCTATCGGGAGCCAACATGGCCTGCATTTCTCGCTGAAATTAGTGTGATTGAGAAAATTTTGAGGCTGGTCAGGCATTGTGGTGCAGCTTGGCACAACTTCGTGGTTTTGGCGCAGTTCAGGGCAAAAACAGGGAATCGTATCAAATTTGCACAATTGGCACAGTTATTGCACCCCTGCTTGACGAATTCTTTTATACAGCTAGATCTATCAGTATGAACATCTGCAGACTAAAACATGTGCCAGGTCGGTAAGACAGTGTGCATAACGTGCAGCCCAGGGAAGGCTCTTTCAGAATATAACGCATCTTAGCTGCTTAACGAAGAAAAAAATTGTCTGTTTTGATTGGCAAACAATTCTCTCAAAGGTAGCACTGCATTTATACACTCTCAAAGGGAGTCGGCATTTATACACTCGCCATCGAATATTCTAGCATTATCGCTAGCGGCGACAAAGGTTCCAGAATAATCTGTAATGTTCACGAAGTGTGCGTAATCTTGATTGATTTGTGGGGTTTAACGTCCCAAAACCACCATATGATTATGAGAGACGCCGTAGTGGAGGGCTCCGGAAATTTTGACCACCTGGGGTTCTTTAACGTGCACCCAAATGTGAGCACACGGGCCTCGACATTTCCGCCTCCATCGGAAATGCAGCCGCCGCAGCCGGGATTTGAACCCGCGACCTGCGGGTCAGCAGCCGAGTACCTTAGCCACTAGACCACCGCGGCGGGGCGTGTGTGTGTGTGCGTAATCTTAACACAGTGATCTACTACAGCCTCAAAGCTTTTCGAACATCGTAGGCATGGTTTGTGCTGAACGTTGTGTAACGGAGCGATAATAAAACTTGAGGAAAGGAACGTGGCATTGCCCCCCTCTGAAAAAGGCATCGTACTGATGCTTTAACAAAAGATGAAGGTACAATAATAAAGACAATAAACAATAAGTACAAGCAATAAAGCACAGCAAGAATAACAGAATACAGTCCTCAGGTTCACGCATGAAATGGCTTGAGGCGCACTACATGGAGGACTTCAAGTCGAGCACGGCACCGTTGAGAGTTGGTAATGCTGTCGGGAACAACCTTGTAATCCAGTGGTCCAAGACATCGAGCTACTCTGTACGGTCCGACATACTGTCGCAGAAGTTTTTCACCGAGTCCATGTTGACGTATCGGCATCCACACCCAGACACGGTCACCGGGCTGGTACTCTACGAAGCTTCATTGAAGATTAAAACAGCGGCTGTCAGCCGCCTGCCGATTCTTAATGCACAAACGGGCGAGTTGACGAGCTTCTTCCGCGCTCGGTTACCACGAGCTTCTTTATTAGCGACGTTTGGCAGCATGGCGTCGTTGTAGGGTTCCATGCCACGTTCCTTTCCTCAAGCTTTGTTATCACCGCGTTACACTACATTCAGTGCAAACCGCACCTACGATGTTCCAATAATAGATCGTTGTTTTAAGATTATGCCCACATCAAGAACAGTACAGATTATTCTGGAACCTATGTCGCCGCTAGCGATAATGCTAGAGCATTCGATGGCAAGTGTATAAATGCCAACGCGCTTCGCCGCTTGTCGGTTGATCGACGGCTGACGCTCTGCCTATTGCTGTTAGTGCCAGTGCCTCGCTGTAATCTTACTTTTCATTTGTTGGCCACAAGTTCAGCCCAAATAAACCCTTTAATCTTCGACGTACTATCTGCTCTCTTCATCGTTGTCACGACGCCGTGACATCTGGTGGAGGTGCTGGGTAATCCATGTACTGCACGCTCCCTTCCAGCCGTGAACCGAGTCCACGTTATAGAGAAGACACCGACGCCAACCACGACCAGCGAATCAGCCGTAGGCAACAAGGTCTACCACTGGAGTACAGGCCTTTACCCAACAAGACTCGCACTTCCAGAATGACGGCCACTGCTGCAACGATGGCTGCCTCTGCGCCACTGCCTGCGGCTATTGTGATGCACCTACCCAGGAAGCCACCGAGCTTCCATGGAGCACCTAATGAAGACCAGGAAACCTGGCTAGAGACATACGTTCGAGTCACTTCCTTGAACAGCTTGGGCACCAAAGAAAAAGTACACCACGTATACTTTTACCTAGAAGACGCCGCAAAGGTGTGGTTCGAGAACCGGGAGCCCACGCTGCCAAGCTGGGATGTCTTTCAGATGACGTTCCTCCGCACAATCAGGAGCATCGTCCGCAAGGAACATGGCAATATTTTTCTTAAAGTTAACTGTACAAAAAGAGTATAAACAGTCAGCGTTTCCTCCCAATTTTTCTGAAGGTATAACTGTTCGCGTGCATTGCAGGGTTAACACAATCGATTTATTTCCCTCTGCAGGGTCTTTTTCTTTAACACTGGTTAACTAACGCCCAGTACTGGAACGATTATCAAGCCAGTGACCACTGCCATACCTGTAGCTCAGGAGAAGCTTCTTCACTTGGCAGGGAGTCGATCAGGACATCGATATCCTTTGCAGTCCTGGCTATCAGTGTCGCAAACAACTGTGGATAGTCTGAAAGACATAAAAAAAATACACCAACCAACTTTAGCCTCTAGGCTATGCAACAGTGGCCTACGGAGGCACATGCAACCAAATTATATAGAGAAGTCACAAGTCTATACAAGATGAACTCTAGAATGTGTGAAGCAGGTGGACCTACTTTGGCTGGACAAGACAAAAACAACAATGTGAACTCAGCCGTGTGTCAAGAAAGTTCTCGTTCTAAGCAGTGTAGCGAAGATGTAGTGGAGCATGGGCATGGGTGTGTGTGGGGCTTAGTAAAAGGAACGCAAGAACGAAGAGAGAAAAAGAACAACCGGTCCAGCAAATGGGCGCTGTCTCTGAGTCTCATCCTTTACGATGGTGCAGTCGACGAAGAAGACTTACGCCCTGGCTTCTTCGTCCAGGACACCCGCCAATGTGCAGCCGCGGTAACCAAAGCTTGAGGACGGCGTCCAGGCTGTCTCGGCAGCTGTTCACCTGCCACCACCGTTCGGGGACAGCGTCAAGGCCTCGTCGGTGGCTCCCGTCCACTTTACCAGTACCAGTTCACGACAAAAGGCGCCGTCCACACGTCCTTAAGCATGGATTCTGCCGTGAGTACTGAGACCACTACGTACTGTGTGAACCCCATCCATGTTCCATAGGGCACCTCACCCAAGAACAATGCGGAGCTCGCGTGTGTTCTCACGCAACTGCCCGAACAGCTTGATTGCTTGGCGTCGTTGAGCTCCAGGGTCCGGCCGGCCGCGTCCCCATTTACTGCCCTCTCGGAATTACTGGAGTTCCAAGGCTTCCAGGATGATACCCACCTATAGATTGCGACCATCAATGCGCTCGGCTTGCGCCATGCTTTGTCCGACAATCAAAAATGGTTGATAGCTATCAACCGCCTGTGCAGTGCTGCAGAGGCATGGCACAAGTACAAAAGCGTCGAGCAACGTTCCTAGATGGAATGGAGTGGCCGGCTCGTTACAGTCTTTGGTCAGATTGGCCGCGACACTTGCAAGCCAAACAAGGCACATACCGAGGATGAGGTTCTGGAAAACCTCCTCAGGACTGCAACTGCACAGTGCAGCTCATCGACAGGCAGCTTGGTAGCCTGCCCTCCAGCAACCACCGGAACCGACTTCGTTTCTTTGCCATTTCGTACCCCCCCCCCCCCCCCCCCACCGAGTTTCAAAGGTCATATTGGCGTTATACCACCAGATTCCGAACATCACGTCATGCACCACCAAAGGCAGTCCCTTCTAACACTAGAAGTATGCATCGTCAGCATTGGCGAGCTTACTGCTCTAATGCAAAATGGAGCTCCACGCACGGTGCTGCATCAACACCATGCCCCAGCCAACCTGCAACCATGGCAAGAGGCGCCCCTGCGTGTCCTTGGTGGCTCCGTTTTGCTTGTCGGTGCGCTTGATCTGCACCTCGAAACGAAAGCCGGGAGCATGTTCCTTGTCAGCGTTCCTGTACACTCGAGGACCTGCCCACTGATATGATCCTAGGAGCTGACTTGCTCATCTCCGGTGAAGTTAACCTCACCATTGATCACAATGAAATCCATCTCAGCTTTTTGACTCCGAGTACGGCATCAACACGTTGAGCCCAAGTTGACAGACCAGAACTTCAAGAGCCTAGTCCCTACTGATACAAAGAGCAGCTACTCTGACTATACAGACACGCACCTGATGGCTTTGAAGCAGTCATTGGCCGAGAGCTCAAATGTTTCATTAAAAAAAGCCAGCAAGAAAACCACTGATGCACCTCAGGTCAGCGGAGCCAGCTTTATCCATCCCGGAAGGGAAGCATGCCGGCGACAGCGATGCATACCAGTCTGCTGTTGATGGCAAATGCTCTTTTCCGAAATCCCGACTACCACCAGACATCCGCGCGGATCAACACGCATTAGCTCTCCCCGTCTTCGGACCCACCACACACTCAGTGCACCGGTGAAACGGCGACCAGTTCAAGCAAGGTAGCGAGGTGCCTTCAGAAAACGTCAATGATTTCAGCGGGAGGTGGAAAGCATAGTAGCATTCACACATGCGGACATAATACAGAGCCACAAGTGACCACCTTTTGTCCTATTCGTCGCAGAATTAAAGATTTTGGAGACCGCAACGTAGAAGCTGCTAAGCCTAATTATGACCTCTCATCGTACCTTGTCCGAACTTGCACGCCTTCTGCGCTGCGCAAGCATTTACCTGCTCAGCACGTGAAAGTGGATGACGACTGGTGCCCCAAACTGCAGCAACAGAATTGTCTCCTAAGCATACTGCAGCCACAACGAAGCAGCCAATCTCGACCGCCTGAGTCGCAAGACAGATTGAGGCGTGCAGAAGAACGGCCAACTAGGCACCGCCAGTGGCACCCAGCAGAGAAATCATTGCCCTACTTCCGAAGCAAGCCGCAGTGTGTCTGAAAATGGCCCAAACGAGGCAACCAATGCCGCTCTCCAGAGGCGTCAGTGTTACCAATGATCCTTCAAGATCCAGTACCTATGAACGCTTTACCTCCTGAGGAGACAACCACTGCCAGAGAAGGGCTATTTTTTGAAGGGCTCTATGTTCGCAGCGTCGCCAAGTGTAGCGAAGATGTAGTGGAACTCAGGCATGGGTGAGTATGGGGCTTAGTAGAAGGAATAGAAGAACGAAGGGAAAAAAAGAACAACCAACCGAGCGAACGGGCGCTGTCTCCGAGTCTGATCCTTTACAGCAGTTACATCTACCCTCAAACCTCGATATAACAAAGTATATGAAAATTATTCTTGCAGACACAGAGTGGGATTAAACATTTTTAATGAATTTTTGGACTTAATGAACTTATTTTCGTGTAAGATGCAACTTTGCTATAATGAGCTTTTAGTGTATTCCAAAATGGTTGCGATTGTAAAATCCTGCATTGCCACAGCATCTAGTGCTACTCAATGATTACTTTCATGAAACAAAAGAAACTCTCACCCATTCTTTCCTTTCTTCAAAGAGGAAAGCAGCCTGCCTTACCTTACTTCCCAAACTATTCCACAATGAACCACGTTACTTGTCACTTTTTCACTGATCACCTACATAGGGTGGCTATCACCTTTTCCATTCATATAGTGATTGTGTGATTTCTTTTATCCCCAGACGTCAACAGACTGAAACCACTAGCCCATGTCTCAAATTAAAGCCGCCCTGCCACATTTTTTCGATACGGTTAAAAAATGCTGCCGATCCGTAGCCGAGGCTTCTGACAACATGCGAGTCAAGCCTTGGAGCGCAGTGCATGACCTTGAATTTACATCTAGTTTTCACATTAGGCTAAAAACTTATCACTCTTCTTTTGGAAAACAATGCCATCAAAATTCAAAATGATTGCAACACAAATGCCAAGTACATGGTCATTGGCTTATTTGGGCATCGCGAGAAGCACGGTTGCTGCAGCTGCCCCGGGAATCCACGACACAACCGCACTGCACTCTGTAGTACAGGTATTATGTGTAGTATAAAACTACAGCAGCGCACTCGCGGTGATGTGGAAAGTAAGCTGTGTGTTTAAAGGAAAAATAAGATAAAGTGCTCGCAGCCATGATCCACACTGACAAACAGACAGACCAGCCTCTTGCGCCCTTGTCAACTCTTTCGATGTAGCTTTCAGGACTTTAATGTTATGTGCCGATTGTGAATGATAGGAGACTTTCAATAGTTGTTTGGCTGAAAATGTGTATTCCTTCCTTCAGTATTCACAGTGCCTATTGGCACTGTGGATACTGAAATAAACAAATTCACTCGTATCAAAGAATAAAGCGCATGAAGCATCAGACAAATCCTCGTAACTGTGCTCACACTGGACGAATTCTAAACATTTGTGGCAGTCGATTCGCGAGGCAGTAAACACTGCGATAATGCCATTCAATGATGACTTAGAAAAGTGTTGTAGAGCCTCTTTTTAAATTGTCCAGCCATGCTTAGGTCAGCTACATACAATCTGTTCCTTTCTGTTCAGTGGCACTTGTTTCGTTGTGTATATTTTATTGAAAATCTTGTGCTGTGTCATTATACATCCCATTTTTTTTTGTAAGACCCCAACAGTTTTCAATGGCCTCAATCTTCGAAGATACTGTTAAAATAAATAAATAAGTGGGCAAGTGCTCCTGATACTCTGGCAGGACACGACTGCTCGGAACAGCGTGATAAAAAATGCAGGCCGCACAGCCAAAAGCAATAGTCAACAAACTGCAGTAAGTTGCAATGGTAAGTTCGATGAGTTGGTAGGGAAATAAAAATGAAATAAACAACAAAGGGAAGAAAAGGACAAGCAAGTGCAGACTATGAACTGAAGCTCTATTGCAAGAAGGAGGCAATATAAAACGGACAGAATAAAAAGCAAGGGGGGCTAAGGGGAAAGGGGAAAAAAAGGCACCAAATCACCAAAAACCTAGGCCACATCAAGCATAGCACACCAGTCATACAAAACCAAGATAGCTTAAGTTTTTATCATGTATGGCCACAGAGTGATCACTGATGCAAGAAGACTCATATTTCTTGCGAATATAAGCACCGTCAATGAGTTTGCGCACTTTTTGGTCTTTATGTTGGAACAACACAGAAGTATTACCAAAGAGCGGAGCGCAGTCACATTTCTTACAGTGGGCTGCTAGATAAAGGCCGGAGTAGCCTCTCAGTGAATTAAAACATTCTCGAAATCTAACACTTATACAGAGACCTGTTTGGCCGACGTACACACGATTGCATGACAAGAGTATGGAGTGGACAACACCGGTGATTTAGGATACATAATTATGAATATGACTAACAATGCATGTATCTTGCTGGACATTTTGCTAATTCACGACTCGTCTGTCTGCTTTGACACATAAAGTGGATAACTTGTTCCTGGCAGAAATAACCGCTTGGACTTGGAGATTAACCGTTTTTAGGTGGTGGGTAAAACCGTGTATATAAGAACAGCAAATGTCTCATGCTGTGCCTTCTCGTCCAAGTTACACACACCACCAGGACCTCTCTTAATCTTCTTAAAGAACTTCTCGCAGACCTTTACCAATACATCCCGTGGAAAGCCTGTTTTCAACTAAATGAGAGCCGGATATCTTCAGTGCAGAGCTAAACTATGAGATTGCAATGGCATTTTTAACCAGTTTCGTATGGCCCGATTTGTAGTTCAGTTTTACAGGCCTAGACACCACAACATGCGTATACATTGGTTCTTTAAGTATTCCGGAATTAACTTCAAGCAAGACCACACTGCCCAAAACTCTCTAGAATACCTGCTGACATATCTTCAGTTCCCTTACAGAAAAAACAACGTAGACATCGAGATAACGAAAAACTCTATTTACAGAAGCCTGTAAAATCGTTTGTACCACCCGATCAACTTCTACTTAGAAAATTACCACTTAGAACAGGTGTCACCCTAGACCCAGTACAGACACCTTTATTTCTGCGGGTACGTCTCACCTTAGAAAAAAATAAAGACCCCAGGAAAAAAATCTAAACTTCTGTGAAAGATTCAGCTGACATACCACTTAAGCCTTTGAAGGCAGGTTCATCGTGGTGACATTCCTTCACTGCTGTCAAAAGATGATTATGAGGGAGAGAATAAAAAAGGTCCTCTAGGTCAACGCTCACGGCGTCACAATCAACAGGGCTGTCATCACTCAGGAATCGGACAATCGTTTCCGAGTTAGGTGCAATGTACGGGTCATCTCTATATAGAGACGATAGGCACGTCTGCAAGAAACCAGACACACAATACTGCCACGTGTCGCGTTCCATGATTATTGAACGAAAAGGCATCCTAATCTTGTGCGTATTTGCAGTGTAAAATACCTCAAGCTGCAATTTTCTCACCTTTTTTACAAACTGCACAAGTGTCTGCAAGTTCATCTCCAGCAACGAGGCTACAGTTTGCTGTTTCCTTTCTACTGGCTTGACTGACGTGGTCCGGAAATTTGATGTGGCTTAGGTTTTTGGTGATCTGGTTTCTCGTGCCTTTTTTTCTCCTTGCTCTAGGCCCCCTTTTGCTTTTTATTCTGTCCATTATATATTGCCTCGTTCTTGCAATAAAGCATCAGTTCATAGTCTGCGCTTGTCTGTCCTTTCTTGTTTTCATCCCTTTTCTGCACAGTTATTATGGCTTGACAAACTTATTGGTACAAGTACGAGTCTTTCTCACTTTTAAAAGGTTACTAACACAAAAATTCTCGGCTGGCATTTTTGCCTCAAGTGGATAGCCCAGATCTCAACAGCCTCAACAGCTGTGTATTGCTAATTGTGAGTGCCTGAGAAGGTAATTACAGTCCGTTTTTGAAAGCTAGCACCAGTGCCTACTGTACCCTGCCATCTACACACGGTTTCATTCATTCATTCATTTGTGGGGTTTAACGTCCCAAAACCACCATATGATTATGAGAGACGCCGTAGTGCATCTACACACGGTATGAGCTTCTTAAGTGCTCGTGCAAGATATCATGACGAAGATAGCACAAGCAGCCCCTTTGAGAGTTTTAGTGACACACAAACCACGGTAGTTTCGGTCCTCACATGATCACAACTAGCCAGACTGCTTTATGAAGTTACCAGAATTAGTACTGCAGGCTGGCATCAAGCCCGTGTAGATGTCAGCAGGTGTGCCATTGAAAAGTGAACTTTAACATCAAAGTATTTTATCAGCAATTGCTGGCCTTCACAGTTGCACAGAGCTGCTTCTGTATATAGTATATTTGCACGGCAGTGTAATCTTGCCTTCAAAGAATGGTGTCAGCACCCTTTAGGCCCGAGTATGTCAATTGAAATTGAGCAGCCTAGCCGAAGTGCACATGTTTGAGCAACACAGTGCATTGAGGCAATTCTAAGGCGCAGAGCAGAATTAGACGGGACTTAGGTTTTCACAGGTGCCATGACCGTCAAACTTCTACTTGTGACTGAACATGCCATGCTCTTGAATGCCAGAAACTCGATTGTGTTTTCTCAAAAGCAAGCATTGCAAGAAATCCATCTGTGTGCCATTTCAATGCTATCAATTGAGTTCAGTGTGGGAAAAAGACCTCTCCAAGTGGCCTCCATTAAACCTGCGTTTTGATTGGCTGAATATAGCCTATGTCTGCAAATTACCTCACCTAATTACTGAAGAATAAACTGCACTCTTTTATTGAAAAGCAGAACTTCACAATTTGTACCCAAGCCTCTGTTACACCAACAATCAATGCTACCATAGATCACATTACCTGCCAAACTCAACATTTTACACTTAATCTAGAACAATACAAACTACTCACATTGGTATTTTAAGCATAATGATTACATCCCATCTCTTATTGTTACAACTACAATTTTCTTAATTCTTGTTGCATAGTCATTAGCTTCTTATCAAGTTTCAGATTAACAGAATATATTTGGTACACAGACACATACACTGTTCTTTTTAGAATGCTAGAAAGACAACTGTACATTACTTCTAGGTGCCTGCCTTTCCAACATACTGTTCAACCTATTTAAATTTGTCCACTCACTGTTTTGTCATAACTTGAGCTTCTCAGCTTACTGCAGTACATAAAGCCACTCTTTCACAGGTGTGAAGGCTTGATGGCAAATCACAAAAACAATTTCCTTGCTAAGCCGCTCTCTGCATATATCAGTCTTGAAAACTTTTTTTTTAACAGCTGGTTAAGGCACTAAATCATTCGACTGTGCTGTATTTATTTGAATGTAAAGTTTCCTTCCTTGATTCCTTGAACAGCTTCCTTGATTTTGATGGAGGCACACAAATATAAAAGCGAAAATTTGGTACTCAAGAACAGTAGTAAGCGGCGCTGTTAGACTTGGAGGCTGACATACCTTCTTTGATTATCGCCTACCATTGCCAATTGCTGAAATTTCTGTTCATTTTTGATGTTTCCCTTTTTTTCCTTAGAGTGTATACAAGTCTTTTCATGTTCAAAATGAAGAAAGTTTTCTATTTTGAGCATCACCCCATGATGTATTTCGTTTTCTTGGATTCTTGATGTACATGGCAGCACTAATTTTTCCAAGATGAAGCCGCCTCTGCATCCGTTGACAGTAATAGATCATAGTCTCGCCACATTGCCCGCCACGAGGGTTACAATGCTCGGCTACTGGCCCAAAGGCAGCGAGTTCGATCCCGGCGGCCGCATTTCGGTGGAGGCGGGAGGCCCGTTTATTGAGCGATGTCAGTGCACGTTGAACAACACCGGATGGTCAAAATTTCCGGAGCCCTCCGCTACGCCGTCCCTCTTAATCGTATCGCGGTTTCGGGAAGTAAAACCATTCCTAGCCTAGGTGTTACTCTCCGTTTCTCAGCTACAACCAGCTCATTTGAGTAGGAAACACCCGGTGTAGGTAGACCTCGCGGCCAGTCGAGCGTGACACAACCGATTCCGAGCACTCGTACCTTCTTGCGGTTGCTGACCGGGCTTCGAGACGGACTTCTCGAACTCCGGGAAGCTGCTGGGTGGCGCATACTGTTGCAGGATACCGATGCTGTTGCAGAAGTTGTCCGCTTGCTGCGACCGAAAGAAAAATCGACGCGATACAATCACGCATGGACGACAGTACACCGAAAGGATGCGTCAAAACAAGGATTCCCTCATTCGCGGTCAAGCTTTTAACAACACAGATCAGAAACACTACTAATTAAGAGAGAGCAGAGGTGAAATAACTAACCGCATTCACAGCGTCCTGAAGTTGCGTTAACCGGTCGGCCATGATGTAAATAAACGCCCCATGTTGCCAGGGGCGGCAAGCTCATTTCGTTCTTCCTTGACTAATCTCCCATGACTACTACTCGACCCTGTTTAAAACGCTCGTAACATAAACTTTCTATGCATTCCTACGCTGCTAACCTTTAAAAAATTGTTTATTAAGCGCGTTGATTGGTTTAAACTAAGTTTTTACAAACTGTTGTCGTTAACTCGGTCGTTTGGTGATACGGTCAGCCATGCTGCTATCAAGGAGGTTCTATAGAACCTCTGGAGTGGCAGTAGCAGCCGCCGCCAACGGGAACAAGTGAAGCTGGCGGCGACCATAATGCTAGAGGAAAAACAGGGCGGAACCACCATAGACCGCAATGGAATACCCGCGTTGCACGGGTCGGTTTGCAGTTCCACGATTTAAAAAAAAAAGAAATGGAAACCATTTTTATGTTCAATCAACGAATAAACGCCTCTTCTTGTTTATGAAACAAATTATTTCATGGACCCATTGTAAGCTGCACGCTTTCAGATCAATCTGTTGTCGAGTGATGCTTCGCATATCGAGCTTGCTGTCGCACTATTGTGATACAAGAGGGTTGTGGTATATATTGATTGTTTTAATAAATGCACCTGCAGATACTCAAAATTTAGGTGAATGCGATATTTGCTCGCCTCTTTCATATATGTGCTTGTGTGTGTGTCGGCAGATTACGAGAGAATATATACAAAGAAGTTGAAATAAATAAAGCTAAAGTTAGCAAAAAAGAGGTAATTAAGTAAACTGGGAGTCACCAGTAATTTTTCGAAAGTTGCAGAGTTCTAACCAATTTAAAGGCGGAACCAAAACCGAAGCACCGATGTCGCGTACAACCGACAAACTCCAGGAAACTTGCCCCAAATGAACCGTTTATAAGAACGATTGCAGTGGCATTAGTTATACATAATATTTATCAAATTCCGTTGGCGGCGTGTGTTGTCACGGCAAGCGCAGGCTTCGGAGCCTAGAAACGAGGCAGCTTGATGTTTGAAATAACGCCACTTACTGATTTTGGCTATTTCGTTTTCCAGTGTTTTGGTTTCGGTTTCGTTGGCAAGATAAAACAGATTATAAAGGTGTCTCATCTTGTTTTAGACGCAATTGCTCATTTTAGTGACTACATTCCACTGAAGCTACATCAACGAGGTAAAAACTAACAGGTTTTTGCAGATGCGCTCGGAAAGCAGTAAAATCAAAGGTGCATTGCCAGGCCGCAGTCTGGTTGCATGCCCCGTTCTGTCGAAGCGGCATTCTTCGAAGTGAATAGAACAGAGGTGGTCACCGTCCGTAGCCCTACAACTATTTCTTCGAACAGCACATACCCAGGCAGAACGTAGTGCGCTGTCTTTCGGAAACCTGTAACATGGATAATCACGGCATGCAATTATTCCTTACGTTTGCGAATTCCTTGGTAAACATGCACCAAATTCAATATTCATTCGCAAAAAAAAATATATGCATGCACGCCGTAAGTCTTGCCTTGTAAGACCACACCAGAAAACTTGAAGTTCAAAGGGCACTCAGGCGTCCTACTCGTTCCAATGTTTGATACGTGCAGCCACAGACCGCAAGTCTTTCGTCCATAAACTTAACACTCAGGGACAACGTCGTGTCAGCGGGCATTTAAAGCTTCAAGTTGCCTTCCATACAGCTATACGCATGCATTACCCGCATGCGTACATATTGTTTCTAATTTAACAGCATACGTGAAAAAACAGGCGATTGTCAGCGAACGAAGCGAGAATACACGTTAAAAGCGATCCCAGGCGTCCTGATGCGATTTGTGCACCCATAAGCGACGCACAAAGTCACCGTGGCCTTGTGAAATCTTTAACTGCTTAACAAAGCCATGTCACAGTCTCCAAAGGCCACTGCGAGTGTGGAGCTAGTGGAGCTACGAAGCGCACTTTGTCGTCTGCTTCTGAGTCTTTCCTTTTCCAATATGGCGGCGACCAGCATCACTTATCGTGGCGCGCCTCCACTCCAGTAGACATGTAGAAACGTGCATTGAGCCGGTGGCGCCGCTGCGCAGGAGGGAACAAAACGAAGTGGCGTGATATGTGCAGCAGCCGCTCCACGATCCGAGCCGTGTCACGCTGGTCAAGGAGCTTTCCAATGTCTCGCATGAATTGCTGCGTCGTCAACTGCCCTAATAGCTACGAGAAATGCCCTCCTGGAACAAAGTTCTTCCGTTTTCCGGGGCGACAATGCCTCGTAGACCAGCGGAAACGGTGGATTCGCAGCGTACGCCGTGTGAAGTAAGTGATCCTGTGCATGGTTATGGAGTACGTGTTGTTGCTAGTTCGATTTGAATTTACGCCCCACGCTAGCGAACCGGTGTTTTTACAGTGCAAACGGAACCGAGTGGCAGCCGGCAAAGTGGTCTCGGGTCTGCAGTGCACATTTTGTTGGCGGAAAGTCATCGACGGATCCAGCTTCTCCTTCGTACGCTCCTGCTATTTTTCCGCCAACGTACCGCAAAACTTCGGCGATCGCTGAGGACAAGAGGTCGCGCTATGACAGGTCAGTAGGCTTTTCCCGCGTTCAACGATAAGTACAAGGTGTGAAGCTTTCACCCTGTTGCACAGGCAGCTGGAAAGTCGCGCGATTTGTGCAACGTCGTGGATATCGCGCGCCGCGAATGCTTCGAGAGCGATAACTTTTTTTTTTTTTTTGAAACTGTCGCTCGTTTGGCTCTGTAGAATTATCGCTCCAACGGGAATGGTCACATGGTTAAATGATTGGCAGGATTTCTTCCCTGTATCTTTCAAAAGCGACATGCGTTGGGTATTGAATTACATCAGCACGTCTCCAACAGCATGAGTACGAAACAACAGAAATATAAAGGAGCAGTACTCGCTTTTTGTATTAATATTTGTCTGCCGCGTATTGCACATGTTATGAAGTGTAGCAGAAATAAATTTGAAGTGTTTATGTGCTTTCTGCTTTTGCTCTTGCCTCACCTATCACTATCTGCTGCTGGGTTACGAATTATGCAGCTGAGCATGAATCATGATTCTAAAGGGACCACTAAACATTTGTGAAACTGCCTTGTAACTTACACTGAAATGTGTACGGTACATAGAATTGATGCTTACACCACACCCATTGAAATAGGCATTGAATGCGGCTGGTGCGTTTAGCAGACCCAAAAGTATCGTAGCAACAACAGCCACTTGTGCTGTATCATAATAAATAACAATTGGCTGCTTTTGATCTCATATGTGCTACAAATGGTACTTGTCTTTGGAAGATGCAAAACGTGTATCCTGATGTTTTCCATCCCCAGGTGGACAAAAAGGGCTCGTGCTTTACCTGCCATTTCAGACCCAAGCAGTGTCAGTATACATGAGGATGTTGATGAAGATGAGCCTGTAGACAGCTCCATTTCATCAAATGATAATTGCGGAGTGGTCGAATCACTACCAGATGTCCCACCCCAGTGTGACGAAAATGAACTGTCGAAGCATGAGGTATGTAGCGCAATTTTTTCTTCACAGCGTGTCTCAAAATTTTGCCCTAATGAATGTGTGTCTGAACCACCCATTTGTTCAGGTTTCAACACAAACGGAAGAAAGCTGCTCTCACATAACAGCATCGTTTGTTACGTTAAGCTGCTTGCTTGACAGTCGTGCCTGTGAGGCTTCTGTTCAGTACAGTCACATCCCTGTCCCTCAAAGTGAATCCTGTTACAAGAGCATCGGTACAGTAAATGTGCACGAGTTCTCCCCGAAGGCATTCTGCGGCTATGAATCTCTCTCTCCTGGCGAGGAAAATAGTGAAGCCCTGAAGTGTTTGGTGGCCGCGCTAGCGATACTTACATTACGGGAAACTGTGGTCTGCTGTACCTGCTCGAGGAAGACGACCTGGTGTTGGCCAACAAGGGCTTCCCCCACATTCGCTATGACTTAGAATCTCGTAAGGTTAGCCTGGAAATTCCCCCTTTTGCTCACATGAATGAACAGTTCACTGCTCCAGAAGTTGCACGCACATATAAAATAGCTTCCCACCGAATTCATGTGGAAAGATGTATTCAAAGGATCAAGGTGTTTAACATTCTGTCGGGAAGGCTACCACAAGAAATTAGAAGCCATGTTGACAAGATAGTATCCATGTGTTGCCGACTCGCAAACATGCAAAAGCCAATATTCAAAATTCAGCAGTGATGGAATGTAGAGTTTGCAATGGTCCTAAAAGCGACCATATTCAACACTTTTGATCCTATTTTAAACATTACAGGCTGCAAAAATGTACTTTCGTGTGTATAATTTTGGGAGCATATGTTTTTTATTTCTTTCATTGGGCTATTTCTGTGTCCTACTGTAAAGTAAAAGCTGTGTGTACAGATTGGAGGAATAGTTTCTGTTGTCATATGTTCGTGCATTTCATGCATGCATTCATGTTTGTAGTCTCACTGGGGAAGCTGTAACAAAAGTAACTGCTTATATGAATGTAGGCATGCGTGAAATGAAGCTGTGAATTGGTCACATGCTGGTCTGTCTGTGCTTGTGAAGCATACAGAGTAGGACGTACACACAAGGGATAGTGTTCATTCATAGTTTCCTGCTTTTATGTCATTCATTGGGGGTTCTTCCTTTACTTTACTTAAAGATGCCATGTTAACAAACCAACGAAGACCTTCACTAGTACTCCTAGCAATCTTGACTTAAGTCAAGCAGCCAGTTTACTCTTCTGGATTTTAGAACTCTTCATTAGTGTTTTTAAATGCACAGGTATTGACCTATCACATTAAAAAGCTGTCTTGATTGCATAAACTGTGCATCATCGTATAATAACAAATGTAGGAGCTTGGGAGAACTTCACCGTGCACTGTAGTGATGAAGACAGAGGATGACTGAGCAACAAGGCCATCTGGTGATGCAACATCATAGAAAAAAAGACTGATTGTAGTTGCACTGCACCATATATGTTTATTTCACTTTGAGAAGAATGACTTAAAATGAGAGGAAAAACATAACACACTGCATGAAAACATGTCAAAATATTGGAACACAACGGTGTATCACAGAATAGC